CGTCCCCCGCCGCACTCACACCCACCGCGCCCTCCGAGTTTATGGAGCATGCCGACAGCGCTGTCTGCCCGGGTCACTTGGTTATATGGGACAGGCGCAGCACGGCGGGGCGGGGCGGGGCGGGTGTCAAAGGGGCGGGGCAGAGCACGCTGGGTGACGGCACGGCGCTGGGGGTGTGGGACGAAAGGGGGAAGGTGATGGGGCGAGGAGGGTTGATATTTGCGGAAATGATCGGCAGATGATGCCCTTACTCTGCGAGTTACCATGCATTTAGAGTTACGTAATAATGTCGTCGCATTCGCATTTATCCTCAGTGCGTTTCCTGTGTTTCAGTATATCGTGCAGCGTATCGTTGTACACATTCTTGTCACAGTATTTGGGGGCAGGCACTTCTGAGCTACAGGGTGGTCCACAGACCCCTTCCTTTATTTTGCTTATACTGTACCGGATGCAGGCGTGCGGACGGGTTGCATACTCGCACGGGGCCGTAAGGCGCCTATGGTGAGCGACGATAGGCAAGCCCGCCCGCACGCATGCATGCGGTACAGTATAAGCAAAATAAAGGAAGGGGTCTGTGGACCACCCTGTATAATTGGAGCTGATGATGAGCCCCGCGTTGTCGCCTTGGATCCACGCGCCGCATATGCTGGCTGATGAGGACTTGCCAAGGTGATGACGGCTGCCAAGGTGACGAGGTGATGGTTGGTTGGGGAGGGGGAGGGGCGTAAGCCTTCCGATCTAACGAGTGCCGGTGGTATGCCAGGGATCGCGGGGTGGAAAGGGGCGCGCGCCTGTGAGCCGCCCGCAGCCCCGTTCGTAAACTGTTTAAATTCAAACAGCGTCCTGCTCTCTTTTCCAGATGCGATCGCTTCTGCCGGTGGTGGCGTCGCTGCTGCCGTTGCTGCTGCTGCTGGCACAGCTCGCATCCGTCTCGGGCACGTTCGGCGGCTACAGCGAGGACGGGACGCTGTGGAAGTGCAGCTCCAGGAACACGACCTCCTCGCTGTCCTCCTCGTCGGCGTCGTCCGAGGCAGGTGCGGCCGGCCCGGCCGGCAGTCACCCGGGCGAGGTCACCTGCAGCTGCGACGGCATCAACATGACCAGCGTGCCGCCCGTCATGCCCAAGATGCACCGCCTGTAAGTAACGATCACCCGCACCAACATATTTAAACTCCGGACCTATGAGGCCGATCCTTAGCCTGCCTGAGACCCAAATGGCGCCTGGCCCCCATCTTCTGGAAACAAGAGACAGAAGCATTGAAAGGACGTCCTGCCCCTGTCCACGCGCATTCACGTCACTCGGGTGTCGTCTTCGAACTCGTTTCAACAGTGTTCGGGGGCCCCCTGCTCAGCCCAGCCTCCTCATGCTTCTTGCCGACGGCGATATGACGCAGTCAACTTCCGGAGGGTTCCCCCCCGTTAGTTCCTTGGGTTGGACGGAGTCCAAGACGGCCACTCTCTATTGCTCGCCACCACTACTTCTGGCGTGGTCTAGTTCGGTCTGCTCGACCGACATCGTGGAAATTTTCGCACAACGACGTATTTACGTCATAATTTTTTCCCCCTTAATAGTTTTGGCACTGACACACTGAAATTGCTGACAAAAGTGAAGGTCGGGTGGGGCGATCATGCCGTTCCCCTCCCCCTCCTCCTTCTGTCCTCCGATAAAAGCGCGCAATTTTTTTTTTCTCACCAGACAAAATTATGAATAATTTTCGAGAGTGTGCGGCAGCCTTGCTGGGCCGCCCCCGCCAAGCCATCCCTAGTCGTACGTCCAGTCATATCCACTGGGGCCGCAAGGCCACAGTGTTGCGCGTTGCGTCACGCTGTCACGAAGGAGGCGCCACCCTCTGTGCGTTGGGGTGGCGCTCAGAGGGGCACGTGCCACACCAACAAAAACTTTTCTAATAATTATTTCTTTCAGGACCCATTCTTCTACTGGGACAAATGACAGTAAAGCAATAAACCTGGTTTAGTTGGGCCGTTCTCCGTCATTTTTGCCGATACAGAACTGCCAAGTTTAGCCAATGCCAGCTTAGCGCCTGGTAGGTAGGCAACATCATTGCCAGCACTGCATGCGAGCCCTGCGGGGTGGCCTACCCCGAGTCTCGCAGGCGCCGAGCTCCCGTGATGTGTCGAGTGGATGGATCTGAGGAAAACGCGGGTGGACTTCCTGGGCGATCCCTCTTGCTATCAATCCGATGTCTGTCGTCCCGACTTGTAGGAATCTTTAATAACTTCGGATATTCACAGACTCCTCCCGAGGTGAGAAACTTACGCCCTCATTGTTTTCAGTAAGGGCGGGTGGGCTTGACCTTGACCTATACAAGCACCAAGGGGCTCGGGTATTTTTCCACCGTCGTGTTTTTTTACACCTCTTTACACAGGCCTTAGCAGTTACATGCTCCTCGAACCAGAAGGAAGGAGAAAGAAAGAGAGAGAAAAAAGAAATGTTACCGCGGAGAAAACGCTGCTTGGCATCGCGTGGGCAGCGGAGTAAATAAAACACTCCTAGGTGTGGTCCTCTATGAAGACGCAAGTAGGCTGCTAATGAGTTTACCCACGGCTCGGGTGCGGGAGTTTAGAGCGCCAGTTAGTGTGACGGAACGTCATAGGGCGGGGTGAGGTGGGGCGGGGCGGG